CCCCAAAACCCCAAAACCCCAAAACCCCATTTTTTCCAAACATTATTGAACAAAATTATGATTTAAGCAGATGTGCTGGAGGAATGTTCAATTCTGTGTACAAGAACAACTCCTCATACAGAGCTTTCTTGTTGCGCTTAGAGGTCTGTTTCCGAATACCAAATTCACTCAGATCCTTCTCGTAGAAATCCTCTGGCATCTTGGATAGCTTGGTCTCCCTTTCCTTCTTAAGTATGGACACCCATTCATTTACATCTGCTTCTTCGATGGTGTAGGATAAGCTTTTGATGAGTTTATCCTTAATTTCTTCTATCTCTGGAGCTACTTCTTTATGTAGCTTAGAATTCCTTTTATTCTTTATCTTGAAGGATGATTTAGCCACCTCTTGAGCAGTAATTTTGATAAAGTCCTTCTCCTTTTTCTTCCGCTTTTTGTTCTTTTTGGGGCTTTCTTTAAAAGATGATTCTGATCTCAGAAATTCTTCCTCAAAATCGTTAATAGGGAAATCAAATGTATCGTCAGGGTCAGTTTTCTTCCTCTTAGTAGTCCGCTTTTGTTTAAATCTGGAGCTGAGCCGCCTTGGCTCTCTTCTCACTTGAATCTTGTTTTGTTGAGCAAGGGATAAGCTATGATTGTCTGACAATCTTCTTGTGGATGGTTCATATTCTTCTTCTGAATCATCATCCACCACTCTACTCCTTCTACTTTGGTAGTTGGAGCCATACTCTTGTGATTCTTGTGAGTCCTTTTCACTTATTTGCTGTCTAAGACTTCGCAAGTTTCTGTTAATTCGGATAGAATTCGATGATGCTGACATTAGGCTTTCTTTTTCAGAATTTATCTGAGAATTTTCATTCGAACTTTTATGTAGGCCAATTGAATTTCCGCCCCCAATATCGTCCAAGGTGTAGTCATCTTCTTCTGAAGTGTATATTTGCCTCTTCGCAATGGACACTTTCATCTTAGAGGAGCTTGGATCGGTCATCTGAGTCTTCCGGTTGCTGTTTTTATCCTCTTTCTTTGGTTCATTTTTGGTAGGTGATAATGAATAACAGCCTTCCCTTTTCTGGGAGATTTCCTTGAGCTTCTTTTTATTCATATCGCTTATTTCATGCCCAGACTCCTCTTTAGCTTTGAGAAGGTTTTCATAAGTATCATCACTCATGCTTCCTTGATCATCATCAGCTTTGTGCTTGCTCTTAGGAGTGTACTCGTCTACTTCACTTCCATTTGTTTGTGTTAAGAGTGAGACATCTTTGCCCTCTTGTTTTGTAGATTTTTCTAAAGGAACTTTCTTAAATCAACTGGTCTTTCTTGGAAACTTCTTTTTCTGTGTGACTTCATGCTTAATTTCATGCTTTATTCTCTTCAGTTTCTTAATGCTTTCTATACTTCTGATAGGAGATGAAAGACAATCTTTGTTGATTATCAGTGACACTTCCTTCTTTTTACTATCTTTTTGTTGCTGAATTTTTTCATCGTATTTCTCAAGTTCATTTTCAACTCTTGCAATGACCTTATCAATTGTGTAAAGAGAATTTACCTTGATCTCCATAATAGGTACCCCTCCAGCCTTACCATCCGCATTTGCAACTAGTTGAGTGGTGCTTTGCTCATTTTCTAAATAATTCTGCTTAAATCTATCTTCACAAGTTGAACACAGTAACTTCTGTTTGCTAAAGTTCCCTTTTTCACACTCACATGCTGCTTTAATTCCTTTGATATCTTTTTTAGAGGCATGTTGGACACCAGGAAAAGCATCCTGAATCTCTTGCATTGTACTCTGCATCATACTCTTCTTGACAAGGTATTTCATAATATCTTGATCAACCTCTGTGATATTCTTCACCAATAATGAATGAATTTCATGCAACTTTGTACTGTGTTCATCGTTCTCAGTGGCCAAACTTATGAGAGAGTCCCTTCCTTGCTTTTTAAGCTCCTTTTTGAAATTTAGGAGAGATTTAAAGAAGGTAATGTCATCGATCTCTTCTATTCCTTCAGTGTTCTCTCATCCTTCTGTGACTTCCTGCTTAATACAATCTGGATTAAGAAGAGCCATAATCTTGCTTTTCATTTGCTTCACTTTTGGATTTTTGCTTTCAGATTTTGGAAATATACTTCTAATCTTGATCTTCTTCACATTCAAATTCTTATTTGCTTGCTCTACAGCTTCTTGTTTGATATTATTAAAGCCTTGAAGCTTAATAGGACTATTTACCGCTAACATCTGAGGATCAGGAAGCACGATTTTATGTCTTGGTGCTGCATGAGATAATCATCTCTTTCTAAAAGCACTAAATCCATTCATTAATTTTCTCAAAATATCTTCATGAAAACCATCAGCCTGCGCACAGTGCGATTACGCAGAGGGTAATTAATTTTCAATATATTTCAATAAACCGCTATTTTAAAGGGGTTTTGGGGTTTTGGGGTTTTGGGGTTTTGGGG